GCCAACATTCGGCACCATAAAGCATTGCAGGTCTCACACCATCTTATAGAATTTTCCCTTAAGTTTGAGGGGGACTTTCCTATCGCACAATAAGCCTGATGCATTCCTCCACTTCAACCATCTAACTTGAATTATGCTGATAGTATCCCCATCAATTTCACCATCAGTCCAAACAATAGATCCAAGATAAAACAGTACTTAATTTTAAGGATAGTATTTTAAAGCTTGGTTAATCTTATATGACAGTCGTCCAATACATCTGATGGAATCATGGAACATTTTTCTTTGCAACAAATTTGGAGCAAGATAAACAACACGCAGCCAGTTGATAATATCACAGGAAACAACTTCTAAAAAATTTTAAACTTACCAGCTCGAACAACATATAGGAAGAATAGTACCTATACAGTAGCACTCTCATGAAGGAGGAAACAACCCAAGTTCCAAACAGAAAACAAAAATCTTAAGTAAAAATCATTAAACAACAATTATAACTGATAGCTACATGCGTTTTCATACTAAAGTGAGTGTTGTTTAAGATTTTGCTAAATTAAAAAAAAATTAATGTCACCTATTTACTGTTACTCAAATGCGAAGAGAACTTACACTTAGATTTTCAAAAGCCCTCTTGAAACGGTCTAACAGAAGCTGCTTTTCATTTTTTTCACCACCATAAAATGCAATTGACTCGGCATTTTCTCGAACTCTCACTAGTGCATAACGAAAATCAGCTTCTTTCTTCTCTTGCATGAAGTTCAAGTTGACTAAACCCTGAAAATGCACTTGAAACAGTTGGTCTTAGGCTGTAAATGTAGCATATCTACTTGCAAATATTAGAGTAGTTACCTTTCCAAGAAACACACTAACAGCAGTACCCCCGAGTGAATAAACAATAAGAACTACAAATAAGGGAGGGTAGATTCCATACAAGATATTACTGAAAGATATCAAGTCAACAGCTGCATTAAAGACAGTCAATGAAAATGCAAGTGCTGTTCCAGTGAAGGAGCTCAGATCATCAACAATGCGCTGGTCAGGGTTGTCAATTATGGATTGAGACTGAATTTTGTAAAATGTACGATTCTTTAGGTAACGTTCCAAGTAGTAGCTAGTCATCCAAGATCTCCACCTTAGAGAAAGGGTATCTTTTGCATAATCTCTCAGGACAAAGATCTGCAAAGCGTTATAGTATAATCAAACAAAAATTAATAAGTGAACGGATAGAAATAATGAGGATGAAGCTGGTCAAAATCTCATGAAATAAAACAGTGAAAATGAGAACGCCACAAAGCCAAAATGAAAAAAAAAAGACTGAAACCAATTATTAACATTTAAAAAACACAAGGAAAAATATAAATGTAGATAAGATTTATAAATGCCAGGAATCACAACAGCTTAAATTGATTAGCAAAACCAATAACCTACAATAAAAACTGATAAGATGTTCTGTATTTCGAACAAAAACAATCAATTTAAATTCAACGCATGACACCTTAAACATGTAACAAACAAATCTGACAGTTCCGAAAAATTCTGCATCATAGGCAAAACAATTCTTGTTTATGTCTCTTTGAATAATATTTAAACAGTAGAACTAAATAGCATACTTCCACAACAAGCTCAAGAAATGATTCAAATAAGAAGGCATGAATAAAATAAGAATGTATGCAGAAATGTTCAAATACTTTGTTAGGTACAGATAGCTTCCACAGCTCATCTGAATAGGGTAAAGTGCACTGCACCATTTTCGAGCTTAAAATAATGGATGACTTCTAGAAATTAATCTATTAAAGGAACTTGTGAAGCTACAAGTTCTACACTCACTTATCAGTCTGAAAGGAAACTTGGAACCATAAATTTTGGATTGAATAGAATACAGAGCAATACCTACAAGGGTGCAGCAATATGCTCACCGGAATCCCTCCTGCAAAAGCTCCCAAGTAGTAAAGAAGTTGCTTTGTAAATTGTTCTTGGTCCTTATCTTACAAAAGCAAGCAAAGGAGAAGGATATGTTAATCAATTAAGCTTTTACTTTAGCAACTAAGACTTCAGAGTAAAGAAGAATCTACATACTAGCAAGTGCATTGTAGAAGTCCCGACCAAGAAAATTAAACCCAACACTAATTCCTGTAGTTCCTAAGGTGAGAGCGAAAACAGCAGCAAGCTTTAACCTGGCCTGGATTTTATCTTCTGATGACCAATATGGGGAAGCTACCTTCCAAAATCTTCTCAAAAGTGTCTCAAGGTTTGGAACCGCTCTTTGATCATCCTGGAGCACAATTTGAGAAACAATAAGCAGCTATTTTAGAAGAAACATGCCAAAGAAGACAAAAAGTTGAGTATAAAACCAAACAGGATGGAGATTTAAATGAACTCAACAAGAACATCAAGTTGTCTTAGCTATTATTCTTGACCAATGGAAAGAAAAATCAGCTCCAGAGAAAACAGGATTTAATGAAAACTTATTTCCAGAAATGCAAAGAAATTACATCAAGTTAGTAAAGTTACTCATACCTAGCAACGGCTAAAGCAAAAGATGAAACACTAGAGCACCAAAAATGCATCAAAGGAAACAACTATTGCAAGTTAAACTTCTAATACTTCAAAAAGAAGCATGATACAATCAGAAAATCCTTCTATTTTGCAAGAAACCATCCTTAGTTGAACAAATCAGCGAATCAACGACAGTGATAGATCTAGCAGGCGAATCACAGAACGATTGGCACTCTAATCATTGAATCGGGTTCGAAATAAAGCATAAAGGAGGAAGAAAAAAACTCCATCTCACTTTATCTTGTTCTCCTTCTCGAGCTCCGGCATCCTCTGTGACCGCCAATCGTATCGTGGAGCCGCGGGACGCGCTTCTTCTCCGGTGAAGCATCAGGAGAGGAGACGATAAACTGTACACCCGGGGACGACAGGACTGGTTATAGAAGGAATTGTGGGACTGAGATTTGATGCAGGTCGACTGATAATAGTGATGGAACAATAAAGAATGAGATATAATAGTAAAACCCATCTTCTCCGCACTCCAACTCTTCCCTTTTTAGGAAATTTGGCAGAGAAACTTTCGATTTTTTTTTTCTTTTTCGCAATGAGGATTTCAATTTTCGGCTACTGAACTCCAATTCGGATGAAGAAGAAGACGAAGAAGATGTTTCTGATCTTCGATTTTTCTTTCCCTCCAGGAATTTTTGCAGCCGCATAAGGATTATCGGCTAACATCTTTCCGGTGGGTTCACAATAGACCGGCTGTAGGGAGTTGGACCCGATCGGGTTCAGGGCTAGTATTATTATATTACATTATTACGTTAGAAAAAAAATATTAAATGCATACCATTAAAATTTTATATATATTTATGTATATAATATTTAAATTCTTATATATATTTATTTATACTTTAAATATTTC